AGCACGATTAGCAGTTGATGGTGGGTGGCATTACTTGTCAAATCATAACAAAAATGTGCTTGTAAAGCAGTTTTGGGTCTCCACAGTAATTTTGACGTGGCATAATCCGCCATTTGCGCCAGCAAAGCTTTTTAAGGAGTCGATAATTCATTACTGTAAGTGAATATGGTTATTTTTCGCCAATAGAGCATTTTCGGGCACTTGCAACTTGCAGGAATGTATCAAGTGTGGGAACTGTTACATTCACGTTATTCACTACTTAAAGTTAAATATAATCGGCCAGTTGCGCACCATAAATAACCAGCGCTTTTTTGAGACGTTAATTTTTCCAAGCTCAACTGCTGAGTGCGTTCTTATTTGTCGAACATTCTTTGATCACCCATGCTTTCAGTCTTCAAAGATTTTGGGTTTTGGTCGCGTGCTGTGTTCTTTAGTTGGGAAAAGGGCAATTAGCTTACCGCGTCAATGCACCGTGAAAATTTGAGAGAATACTAAGAAAGATGTGAAATTTAAACCATGCGGCGGGTTCTTACTTTACGCACAGCACAACGCAAGTTTTTGTAATTTAGCGCTGTCTTTTTTGTGCGCCTTATCTTGATTTTCTTTCCTTTCTCGAGGAAACTATTGCGTTATTGAGGACCTTACGTGTCATTATTGTTAAACGCAGTACCTGTTTGGCGCGCATTTTGTATCATTTATATCCCTTTTATTCGGATGATGCTCATCTTGGCGGAAGAGACAAAGTACACTTATTGACATTTTTTCACGTTTTTAATATATAACTCGAGGCAAATTACCCTAGTACAACAGTGATACTAATTGGTTTTAAAACAGTAACATCCCAAAATCAACCGGCCAAACCTTTTAGAAAGTGACATCACTAACAAAAGCTTATTTCACAATAATATCTTGTGCAACATACTAATACACCGGTTTTTATGCGTATTGGAAACATACATCAATTGAAAGTGGTTTTCTTCAGTGTAAATTCTAACTTAGAGAACGCAAAATGACACGAGAAGGCAGAAAAAATATATATAACACAATCTTTGGCGTCAGTAAGGTTGGCTCAACTCCCATCTTGTTACTTTACACACAAAGCACATCTAACAGATCTGCAAGAGGAGTTGAGAGCATTAATGTCCGTTGCTTTGGTGCACTTAAATAAAAGAAACGCGCTAAGGAAGAGCCTTAAATTGGAAGTTTTAGTAAAATTAGGAAGACGTCTAACCTCCACATATCGCACTATGAAACGAACTGACGAAACGACTAGCAACGAACAATTTAGACAATTTATTGCAAGTGTACGACAGTAGTAACGATCATCTCATTCAACGTTACTAGTAGTTTAAAAGTGAACCCCACGTCACTTTGTGGTGTTATTACATGAATGTCGCTATATATAATAACGATTTTAATTTGAACTGGCTTAGAAGGTAAAATTCGCTTGGTTAAGAACAGTAGATCTAAATTTGCAATGTTTAGAATGTCAACTATGACACGTGAAATTATACATCTTCGATCTCGGAGCAAAATATACTTTGACCACTATTTAAAACACAAAAACACGACCAAACATACCAGGAATTCAAGATAGCTATATTGTCGAAGTTTCCCCCTAATCAATTTGAATAGTCTCATTATACTTGACTGTACGCCAAAACATGCTCTTGATTGAATGGCGAATGTTTTATGAAGGTGCTTCGTAAGCACATTTTGGTTGACAAATGTTCTTCGTCGATTAGTTGTTGAAACATTTAAAACGTTTAATTGGGCCTCTAACAGTTGTTGGTTATAGCAAATTGTAAAATTTAATTCTCCCAAAGGCGTGGGTGATTGCTTTCGGTTTTGTTCTATGATGACCTCCTGGGCGCATCATCGTAAACTTTCTTGGTGAATAATAACTTGACGAAAGCGTATTTCTTCTCACTCTGTAAGATGTTTTAACGAACATTGTGAGTGAAATAACATGACTTAAGCAACACCATTCTGAGATTATTTCATTTATCAAAAATGGTTTTAAAACAAATTTTATGACAGTTCGAAAGTTCCCTGTTAAGCACGCCATTTTGATCTGACTGTTATAGAAACAGATAAAAGACATGAAATTAAAGTTACCTGTTACTACGATACACTCTGTTGTCCACTGCACGCTGAAACAGGGAGCAGTAAAAAGAGTGTTAGATGTTTCTAAAAGCGGAACAAATCCTAGTGAATGGTCAACACGGATAAGCAGTTGGAGCAGTTGGCGAGGCGCTGAGTCTCAGGTTACTCAGCATCCTTGGTTTGTTGTGAAAGCAATGGACGGCTTGGTTATTGAACAAAAAGTTATTTGATGTTCGTTTCGACAGTTCAAGATTATTAAAATTATATGTTGGCCATGAACTGCTGTCATACTCGCGTCTCACAAATTGCACAAGGAGCGCGTCTGATTAATCAATAGGCGAAATCAAGTTTTGCTGACAAAGCATGTCGACTTGCCACTAAAAACTAAAATACGCTAGTTCCAGCGAGATGCTTATGATTTCTACTTTGTGCTGGTAAAATGTGCTCCCACCCATCTACTGCTTTTAACAAAATGAGTTTTTGAATTATTTTGTTAAAATATTTTATGTGGTTTTTGGTTCTCGCACATGATGTTGCTTCAGCTAGAAGGTATTGCACAGTGTCGACGAGTTAATTTACCTTTTCTCTGCATCGCTGTCAAGCAGTTTTTTGAAAAAGATAGAAACCTCGCCTTACCTTAAATCTTTAAAGTATTATGCAACATGCTGAAACAGAGCAAGAAAAACAGTCAGATTGTTCACCACGAAGCATTTGACACTAAAGGGTTTCTGCAATAATGGACATTAAACAATCACCATTCGTCCTGGGCCGATCATCATATCGTGGCCCTGACCGTGGATAACCAACGTCAGTGGGTTGACTTCCCCTGGGTCCCTTTGGTGGCATCGCAAGTCTTTATCAAAGGTAATCGACCGTTCTTTTGCCTTTCGTGTGCTCTCTGTGATACCTCAGATGATCACAATGGCGTGAATATGGGTGGTTATAGTAAGCGCGGCGCAGCGCGGCGCGCGCATCACATCGGATTTGCATGGTCATGCATCTTGACGGACAACAAAGCAAATCTTAGAAAATCCTTTGTATTCTGTACTATAAACCGGTAAAAAGTTTTTACTGAACGCGTTCATTGTACAGTGAACTATAAATTACAATTTAAATGTGTAAGTGTAGTTTTTAAGATGTCGCGCGAGTGCGTCATGTCAAAGACGGAAAGAGGACAAACGAGTTTTATCATCTTGTTGATTCTTATAGATAGAAAATTTCGTTTACCTTCTCTCTTCATTGCAGAGTACAGTCGTCATTATACGCTGTAAAAGAAAAGAAAACGATTAAAACGATTGTTTCAAACGATTGTTTCAAAGTCGAGGAACGTCTTTGAACTCAAAGAAATTCAGCTTACTTCCTCTGTTTCTCCCTCGCTGTCCCGAATTCTGGGTGTTTGTGTAACAGTTAGGATATCCATTGTTAGGATAACGGTTGGATGAACTGTTCGTGTATGGATTTCGTTGAGTTGAAGTGTAACTGGAGGTTTGTTGGCTGTATTGATAGTACACATATCCCGAATCTTGGCTGTTGTTTCCTTTAGCACCGGGTCGTCCCGACATAGTTGATTGTGCTTATAGTGTTTTTCGTCTCTGACAAAGGTGTGTAGTATTTGAGTAGAAAATGTCTATCTAAGTATAAGTGTTAGGAGAAACAGGTAGCGTATTTATAGTGTCAAGCGCGCCAACTAAGCGTTTTTTTAGCGTTACATATTTAGTTAGAATTGTACTGACGCTGATTTTGCTGTCCACGTGATCCTTACCTCAAAATGGGCAAATTACATCATAGTCCTCGCCATGTCTAGGAAAGTAGGAGAATAATCAAGTGAGAAGCATTTGCAAAGTTGTTTTCTTACCTAAACAAGGTAAAGATTGATGACCATGGCTTACCTTGCCTGTGCGCCGTGTATCAATTGAAATAACCAGAAATTCCATCCGTACGCGCATCGTTTTCTTGTTAACGCGCCATGGTATCTAACAATCTCCTTTGTTAAGTGTCGCGGGAAAAAAATCATCCAAGGGGCATTCCCTTCTGATCAAATTATCGCTGATCAAACGTTCCATCGATCGATCGAATATTCTATCGACAATCGGCGAATCTTTCTCCAACGATCGTGCACGGGTAGCGCACATTTTTTAAAACTCGTGATACGCGACTATGCTCAAAAGTGGTTGCCTTGTCTTTATGAAGCGCAAAGATCGAAGCTTGTCTCTGTTGCTTTTCTAGGCGCGGGCTACTGTTTTGTTCGGCTGTCAATCATCAGCACATTATAGCTGGTTCTAATCCTTGACAATCTATTTCAAGGGTCCCTTTTCCATCTTCCGCAATGAGATATTGATTAACTTTGCTCGCATTGTGTGGCGTGTTTTGTGTAAAAATGCGCCAAAGCACGTTCTAATACTTCCGACGCGATCTAATAACTGCTTTAAAAGCATTTTTAGCGCCTTGCTTTGCAAGCACTTTCGTGTATTGGCAAATTGTCAAACTATTTGCGTCAGTCTATTGACCACAGCGACAAACATTGCTTTGGGCAGCTTTGACTTACCACACAACAGGATGTTTTGAAAGCACTGTCTGTACGAAACATCACGAAATGATGTTTTGACCAAAATTCATCGCCTTTTGCGCCTGATGTGAGTCCAGAATAGCGTTGCGCACTTTACTAAGAACGTTACGAGTGACTGAAAAAGGTGCTTGTCCCAAATTTTTTTATTTAAACTTCAGTTTCATAGCTTGGGAAACCCTGCTTTCGTGCTTGTTAATCATTCCGTGTCAAAAGGGAGTTATCCCTGTTTGTTTTCCTACTAAGATTATTTCAGTTTCGAGCACGTTTTCACCAGCTTCATTAGTTGACACGAGGTGATTGGATGCTATATTAAGCTAAAAATACCCTTATAAAGGAAAACCACCCATGCTTTGTCAAGCAACCTGATTGGACGTGCCCATCTGCTGGTATTATTGTCGATTGGCAGGGCTTTTTCCCTTGCGTTCTGCCTCTCAAGCACTTTCAATCCCGCAAAAAGCCCCACGCAACGCCAAACAAACCGATCACTCGTGACTATTAGGTCATAGTTTTCATCTGTCTGGGAATTTTCCCTGGTACTCAGCGTTTAAATTTTGGTCCCGTCAGTGAATCGCCATTCTCGCTCGTAAAACAGAACGTGATGGATCCTATTGTTAAGAAGCTGTTAGAGGGAAAGCCTGAAGACGAGAAATACCAGGCTATAGCCTTTTCATTCGCTTGCCTGTTAACCGGACCAAGGGCAAACCAAAGCCGCGACGCACCGTTCAACAGTGGTAAGATTTTAGGCCTGTTGACTTTAAAGTTTCTTCTCGCGTTTTGTCTTGTGGTCATGTACTAAATCGAATTTATCCTTCTCCTCAGAAGAACACGTGGCGAAGAAAGATGCGGACCACGAACCGAAATTTTCCTTCGAAGAAGTAAACGACGACGAAGAAGATTCTTCAGGTACCGTTTGACTTTATACTCGATTTGTATTTTTCATTTGATTGGTCTCTCTTAGTAGTAGCTCACTCTTACACAACGATATACAATAATATATGCAAAAAGGTATGAGCGAAGCAAGAGAAATATTTTCGAGTAAACGATACAACAAAATGTAAATCACTCAAGATAAAACGAAGCAATAGAACAATTTTCGAGTAAACGATACAACAAAATGTAAATCACTCAAGATAAAATTTTGCTGTGACTGCATATTCTATAAATTGTCTAGTGCATCTTGTATTAAAATTGGCGAAAATTTTATTTATATATTTTTCTTATCCTAAACATTTCTCTGGCGCCATTTTCTCTAGACTTTCATTTAATATATTCTCAACACAACATCTAACATCGCTATGTATTTACGTCTTTCAGAATGACGAACAAACAAGACATCCAAGTTGAGATGCTGAATTAGGATCCTACGATCAAGGATGAAGTTATCTGAAAATAGGCAGCTCTGCCAGGTCAAGAGGACGTTTTTCCCTTAACCGAGTAAAACTTTTTTTGCTGTTGACATGCAGATCAGCCATCCTTCACCAAACTCAGAGGAAACGAGTCGAAAATGAAAACCTCACATGTGTTGTTATGGTCAATTACCTAAACTTTCGCTCTCGTTAAAAATATTCAACATCTGCCACAAGTTATCGTAAAGAGAGAAGTATTTTGTTATATTCAACTTGTCATCAAGAAACAGTATCTATAAATTGCTAGCAAGCGCGCGGGACTTTTTAAGTCGGCGTGAATGACGTAATTCATCCTTTCTGTCTTTAGTTACGTATGTTTTTTTTCTTGAAAAGCTTGCGTTCTGCAACGTTTTTAAGTTAAACACATATCTGTAAAGTATGATGTGTTCTTAAATAAAGTGGTTTAAGTTTCACGATTGGCTTTTTTCTTGCTTTATTAGTCTTGTTTACTATTTTGTAGTTAACTATATTGATAAATCACTGTACGTAGCGGTTTTATGTTATAGGAACAAATATAACCTTTATTGATCACAGTTTTGATTTGCATGAAAAAAATGCACAATCATTAAAGAAAAAATTCCCTTTACCATCAGCAAAATTCAGGGAAAATGAATTCCTTATTAGAAGCGTACAGTGTTATAAAATTTCAATCCTTATTAATACTGAAATAGACACCGAGCAAAGCAATTATAATATAAATTCATCGGTAACCTTTAAAGAAAGTCACTGCAATCTAGAATTTCAAAATAATTACTTTTCCATAATGATCTCACATTTCTATCATTCGGCAGTATCGCTCCTTTTAAGAGGTTTCGAATGTCTACATTTTTATGCATCAAGTACTTCTTTATAAAATCTGAATCACGCTTAGGAAAGAAAAACTTTATTAACGTTGTGTGTAAATCTACTTTTAACAGCCAAAATTTTCGTATCAAAACTGAAATTTCCCCTTATTTCCTTTTTTGCACGGTAAGCAAAACTTGTCCGGGCGAGTAATTTTTGGGGGGCTTCAGTTTTTCAATAACAAACCTACGCGTTACAGAATTAATTGCTGGTTGTTATATAGAAATTTATCTGCGTTCGAGTTGAGGGTTTTTCCCTTTTTCGCCCAATACATCACTTGTTTTGAATAAGCATCAAAATATGAAAGATCAAAATACAAAAACATTTTTCGTAGCCAAAGAAAAGCAGTAATAAAGCGAAGAAGCCGAGTGCTTTTCTTACAAGGCGTTCGTTGCTGATCTTGAGAGGAGGTTGGGACTTTAAAAAAAACACATGGGCCGTTTTATTGTGATTGTTTTGCGATGTTATCGCGAATATATTGATCCAACAAATTTGACATTCATACGGTGAAAAGTTATCAATTTTATTTCTCCTTTCGGGGCATATCGATGTGAAAGACTGCCAAATACCTGGTAAACT